CAACATAATGTCCCCTGACCATTTCAACCTCCGTCTCAAACATTCAAAAATCAAAGGAGCCTGCAATATAGTAATAGCTCGCTCGGACACATCTCTCTGCCCCTACAAATCCTTTGTGCGTTACACTCGCCTCCGCTGCAAAAAGGAGATCTTAACGGACCTCTATTTCTCACTCCAGACATTCTTCCCATGACAGCAACCTGGTTCAGAGCTCGACTAAGATCCCTACTGCTCCTCTGTAAATTGTCTCCCCAGCTCTACACAGCCCACTCCTTCAGGATAGGCGCCGCCACGCGCGCGGCCTCGCTGGGGCTCCCCCACACCTCTCTGCAACAGCTGGGGCGCTGGTCCTCTTCGGCCTTCTCCACCTACATCAGGCCAGACGCGTCCGCTATCCTGGCTGCACAACGGCTACTGGCTTCCTCGTAAGCTCCCAGCAAAGCAATACAAAGCAAAGTAAGTGAACCAATAAGATTCTGGTGGCGGCACGCACTTCTTCAAAGATAACCCTGTTGCAGCGTCCGGTTGATCGTGATGCGAGCGCTCACGTCCCGGCGCTTAAAGATAACTCCACTGCAGCGTCTGGTACCGATCGTGATGCGAGCGCTCACGTCCCAGACAGCGTCCGGTTGATCGTGATGCGAGCGCTCACGTCCCGGCGCTTGAAGATAACTCCACTGCAGCATCTGGTATCGATCGTGATGCGAGCGCTCACAACCCAGACAGCGTCCGGTTGATCGTGATGCGAGCGCTCACGTCCCGGCGCTCAAAGATAACTCTGCTACAGCGTCTGGTATCGATCGTGATGCGAGCGCTCACGTCCCAGGCAGCGTCCGGTTGATCGTGATGCGAGCGCTCACGTCCCGGCGCTTAAAGATACTCCACCGCAGCGTCTGGTACCGATCGTGATGCGAGCGCTCACGTCCCAGGCCGCGTCCGGTTGATCGTGATGCGAGCGCTCACGTCCCGGCGCTCAAAGATAACTCTGCTACAGCGTCTGGTATCGATCGTGATGCGAGCGCTCACGTCCCAGGCAGCGTCCGGTTGATCGTGAAGCGAGCGCTCACGTCCCGGCGCTTAAAGACAACTCTGCTACAGCGTCTGGTATCGATTGTGATGCGAGCGCTCACGTCCCAGGCAGCGTCCGGTTGATCGTGAAGCGAGCGCTCACGTCCCGGCGCGCAAAGATAACTCTGCCCGTTTTTGGGGATTATGCGCGCGAGCAAGCGCCGCACTCATCAGCATCTCTCCCGGGCCTAGGGCGCCAAACATACTCAATCAACAAACTTCTAACTGCATTTTCCCTCTTGGGTCTCTCCAAAGTGAAATGAAGCTCTTCGCGAAAGTTCACTGTGGTAGACCCGGCCACTGCTGCCAGATCTACAAGCCTGCTCATCCTCTATTCATTACACTAGCAAAACGCCCACATCTAATCCACCAATAACCACCAGGACAGCAAGTTAAAAGCCGGAGACGCCCACTTTCCCGGCCTTCTGAAGTTTGCAAAGCCTCCGCCGCCCCACCTCCTCCTTCTCTCATCGAAGCGTGCTTGCCTACTGCCTCTGCCGTCACCAGTGCCTAGGCCCCGGGGGGGATTATGCGCGCGAGCAAGCGCCACACTCATCAGCATCTCTCCCGGGCCTAGGGCGCCAAACATACTCAATCAACAAACTTCTAACTGCATTTTCCCTCTTGGGTCTCTCCAAAGTGAAAATGAATAGTAATTATCCCAAGGCTACAATCTGGTGTGTGTACAGTACCTGTCATTCACGAATGCACACTGTCCCAACCAAACAAACAATTTAGATAATAATAATAATCCTATAATCTGAGCATATTCTCAATCCGAAGTATTTTAAGGCATAAGGAGTAAACGCTTGTTGCTGGGACTAAGGATTCAGCCATTAATGGCAAAGTAATAAGTCTTGTCTTTGGGTGCTCTCCTGTCATAGGATAATTGAATTGGCAGACAATGTCATGCTGCTGTCACAGCAGGGGACTGGCAAAGAAGATAAGTGCAGTAATGTGGCTTCATACTGAGGCGACATGTCACAAGGGCCGACTGAGGACTGAGGGGGAAAAAAGAGCTGCATAAAAATTCAGATTTTCTCCTGGACAAAGAATAGAATGTGTAGTTTCAATCCTGGTTAGATCTCATGTCAGCCCCTTCATATTGCTGCTCACTTGCCATCAATCCAAACATAGTCACCCACAAAATACATGCCATGTTTCATACACCATCAGGTTGTAGTGTTTCGGTGATGTAAGTGATGTAATTGAAAGTGCAAGCATTGAAACAAACATTGAAGTATAAGCAGAACAATGTCTTCAAACTGCCAGTTCTGATTTGAGGCAATTACAGTTTACATGGTATTGTCAAAAAAACCTACAGGACAACTTAAATTGCTCCAATAAACACACAATCAAACAATGTCGGCGTCTTCACAATTCATGAAAATAATAATAATATTCATTATCCAGAAAAAGTTGCCGTTTATGAAAGGCTAGGATTCAAAACAAGACGATTTGCCTTTACAGGGCAGTAACTTAGCAACATGCAAGACTGTAAAGAGTGAACAGAGGCAACCACAAATGGTGTGTTCTGTATCTTTATTTTCCTTCCTTTTATCATACAACATCCCCCAAAGTAGAAGCTCATTTTCCCATCCACATTATCTGTATTCTGTACTGTGCACTGTTGGAGAGATGAGCTGCAGCATCTCTGTGTGTACAGTATGTGAAAACGTGCCACTTTTCGCCATTAGTAGATAAAAGCCTTGGCATTAACATGTTTGAAGATGCTTTTAATGCAGTGCTTTGCATATAATTCCATATTGGGCTCAAACATCATGATCAAATTCTAGATTTCACTACACAGAACCATTTTTTTAATACATTCATGTTAGAAGCAAACCAATGCAAAGTGCAATTTAATCATTGTGTAGTCATTTGCACTTCAAATAACTTATTATGCAAAACTATTAGCGCTCAATCTTGTCATCACGTCAAAAGAACTTCCAAAGACTAAATCTGCAATCTGCTGATCAAACATTGTGTGTAGGCCCTGGCATTACAACGTTCATACTAGTTTATAGGGCAGGCTTTAGGGGGATCTGTTGTGGCTGGACTTGAATTACAATGTGGGATTTTCTGACGCTCTCACCGCCTGGGCTCTCTGCTCCGTGAACAACGAATCTTTGGAAACATTTAGCAACACAATCTTCATCTTGTCTGACAATACACGATAACAACAACCTGAATTGATCATAGCTGGAGAAACACTGTGTTTCACCATGCGTGTGTCTGATTATGTGATTTATGCCGTTAAGCATTATTGGTGATTGGTTTTGTTTTAGTTCACATTTCAATTTTCATGTTGCTGCAATTGTTTGTACCCATAAAGCAAAGCAGAAATCTCTTCTTTCCCTAATCCCAGAATCCAGAAACAGGACCAAGCGCTAGAATTGTTTAACTTAGCTTTGTAAAGGCTTTTCAAATTGTGTGGTAAAACAGACTATACTCATCCAACACTTAGACATGGGCATGATATTTTCTTTGGCTGAAAAGAGTTGTGCCTCATTGTACAACATAAAAAGATACATGTTTGCAATGAAAGAAATGGAGAAGGAGGCACTCTGAAAACTGTGTGTTATAATAATAGATCGACACGTTTCGACAAAAGTCTTCGTCAGGGCAGTGAGATAAAAAGATACATGCTGATTTTTGTTTTGTAACAGTTACATCTTGACTCAACCTCTATGACTGGAGTTGGGATTTTTCACTCCATTGATCCCACTATTATTAAATCTTGTAAAGTGAAGTTAATGAATTGAACATGGACATCTAAAGAACCAAATAAACTATCATTAATCAATACAAACCTCCAAAAAAAATTCTTTGATATGGTCCTAGCTAGTAAAATAAACAGCTGGATGTCTATGTAATTGTGATTTCAATTGTGGGAGGTGATGTTTTTGGGTTATTATTATTTTCCATAAATACAAAACACTAACATTTGATACTGGAAAAGTTGGAGGGAAACAATATGCAGTCTTTGCACCCCGACAGCACATTTTCTGATAGATAAAAAATATGGAGAAACAGCCTTCAGTTGTCAAGCTGTCCGCACATCCTCGAATGTGCTGAAGCTCTGCAAGTATTAGTAAGCAAGTCTTTATTTATGTTGCGGTTTTCCGAAATACATAGTACAGGTCAATGGGAAAGAATATGGATACATTTGACATGTGATTTTATTGAGAAAAGTAGGGATGCATTGATACTACTTTTATTTGAGTACTTGCCGATGTCAAATACTAGGATACGAAAATGAGTACTGCATTGTGTTATCCCTGGGAATTCATAAAACTAATAATACTGAAATTCTCATTTCAACAACAAGAAAATGCTTTAACAATTAAACATTATAGCAATTGTCTTAACAGTCACGATCATTAAGAGCCACGGTCAAATTCCACTCAAACAAATGCTATGTTTTTTGTTTTTGTGCTCCGGTGCTAGCCATGGTGCTATACTCCAAGTGGTGGTGAGTTTTAAGATGTTTGATTAAGTTGCTGGTGATATAAGTGTTTGTTTTGGACCCACCTTGTGACAGTTTTGCCTCACACAACGCACAGTCCACTTTGTCACTCTCGTTTACTTTTTAAAAACTGCTATACAGCCAACATCCGCTTGCCGCAAAGCTAGCAGCAAAATGCTTTCTCGCTGCAAACGTTAGGAGATCACCATGGCAACACGTGCCGCACAGCTGTCTGCTGTCGTAACGCTAAAGTAAATTAAAAATGTGGGTATCGGTTCCCCAGTTCGGTTCCTATGATATGAGTACGAGTAGGAGTACAAGGCTATGGTATCAACCCGATACAGCATCGGTATCAGTGCATCCCTAGAGAAAAGAAAAATCTAACGAATAAGGGATGGAAAAGGTGAGCTCAGATGCTTAATTTCAACACATTGTCGTTTCTTGACCTCAAGTGGACACTGACCTTATGATGAAGTCACTGGAATCAATGAGTGAGCCGTAGTGCGTCCCCTTCAGGTTGCCAGAGTTCCCCACCACTGAGCAGGTTCTGCAGCGATCAGGGCTTGCGTCCATGTACAGCACCTCATCGGGAATGACTTGGAACAACTCTTCCACCACTTGGGTAAAGTTGGCCGGCTTCCGTTCAGCTTGAAGCCACTAGTGACACAAGAGACAAAGCTGAAAGCGAGGCCTCGCTGTGGGGCCACTTTAAGCAGAAGTGATTGAACAAGGGGAGTGCAGCTGCAGACACCCAGCACATTTGTGAAATAACCTCGGGGCAGCTTAGCTCATTCTGGGAGGGCTCTGTGAACCTGCCATTCTCAACTCTCACAGGCAGCAAAAAAATATTGGGAACAATGGGCAGTGAAACTTTTCAAAAAGCAAACACAAAGATCAAATAGAGGGCTTGATTTAGTGAAACATACGGCAGAAGTCAGGCTGGCCGATCGCTGGGGAAAACAGCCTTTTTTCAAATGTTTTATTTTCTATTCAATTTAGATGTTTTGGCTTGTGCCTTCTAGGACTTTTACCCTATTAATTACACTTGCTGTTTCCAAGTAGTAGTGCAGTAAATTGTTTTCACTTGTTTTAACTTTGCTAAGGCTTTCGACCTTACTGAGATACTGAATTTGTGCTTGCAAATCATTATATTTATTACTTGGGGAAAATCCAAACTGGGACTGCATTCGACATTTATTATGGGAGTACATTATGTAGAATACAAAATTCACAGAGAGTATATTTGCCATCATGATGTTTAATTCTGCTGCTATCAATAAATTTTTCAATTGTATTTTGTTGTTGTGGCATGGTCCTTTCCATTGAAACACCATACAAAAAACAAAAGTGAAGCCATGCCTACTATATTTAGTTTTCTATTATTACTGCCCCACTCATGTTTAGTGAGACGGTGGCACAGAGGTTAGAGTCGTCAATTCTCAACAAGAAGATTGGACTATGAATGAAAACTAGCCTAGTGTATTTGCAGCAGTTTCTGATCATTAATGAACAAAAGTACAAAAAGGGTACAATTCAAACTTTGGCCAATTTAAACAAAAATATATTATATATAAATATATATATACTATTATTAGTTTAGTCCCGCCTACTAGTCAAAATAACTATAATAGAACTCAAACACTGCCTGTTTAGTTTAGTTAATATGATTAAGACAAGTCAATTAAAAAGGTAACTATATATAACTATTGTAGTTCTTCAATAAGTTCTCAAGGACTCAATTTGAGTCAATACCATGGTATTGTAAAGCAGAACCTATGATATTTTAGGTTTTGCTCATCAAGCCCCTGAAATTCATTTGCTGAAATGGGCAGTGACAGGAGGCAACCTTGCAGTAATTGTTCTATTCTTACCCCTAATTGAACATGGTGTAAGGTAAAAGTGGGAATACCTTAGGCATTGCTTCGCTTGTGCGGCGCAAAGGGGAACAATTGTATAGCAAAACTTCGATAGTGTCAAGTTTAATTTAGAGTAAAACAAATTAATTGTACAGGGCAGGTCTGGAGGCTGCATCACCAGAGAGCAGTCCCTCTCAAACAATGTATCAGAAACTCTGCTCTTACAAAGACTTAGAAAGCTATTTTCACAATGCAGACTTGCGTTCAAATGTGTTGAAAGGAAGGTGAAGGAGGAGGCGTCTGCAGTCAATGTGCTGTGTACAGGACCAGAGGATATTGTATTATAATGGAATACTTTTAAATACAATTCCCCTGTGCTAGCTTGTCAGGGCCAGCAGATCCAAAAAAAGCAGGTAGGGTCTTTACTAATTTTGCGTTTGAATACAAAAATTAAGTCTGTGGTCTTCCTCTCAGAAATGTTGTGGTAAGTCCGAGTTTGCGGCATAAAACAGGCCGAGAGAGACCCAAGATGCAAACAGAAAAGCTTATATGTTGGTATTGCAACAATACTATAACAGTATGTTCTAATGATACCTACAATGTTTTTATGTAGGTATCATTTCATTGTAACACACCAAGTTGGAGAAAAAATACAGAATATAAAAATCAACAGATGGACTCGCTAGTGTAAAGTATGAGTAAAACATGTGTTACTCATACAGTTTCAATCGCTGCCTGCCCCAATCTCAGTTAACAATACATACAACAGCAATTTCAAGTGTCAATCATCCAGAATCTTAATTAACGCGTTAAAGTCCCGGCCCTAATATATCTATAAGGGCTGTAAAATACCTCCTCTGGCTGTTACTGCATACACAGCTAGACAGCCCAAAAGATGCAACAGTGAGGAGGAGAAGAGGGAACTAAAGCAAAAAAATTATCAAAGAATAAAATCAAGCCCGGGTGAACATAGGTAGCTTACATCGTATCCTCTCGAGACCTGCGGGAGCGGACCGCCTCAGACTACATTTGACGCAAAACTAGCTGTAATCTTTAAGTCATTGAACTGTATATTTTGTTAGCAGTACGTTGCTTTTGTACCTTTTCATCAGTGATTGCTGTCGCTTATAAGAAGTTGTGCTAATGCTAACTAATGCCTATCAGATCTCTACTAAAACTAGATGCTTCGTTCCTGTCCAAACAAGAATTGTCATCTACACTTTGCCTGCTAAATGTGAACAACTTGTCCATGGGTGTTTGTTTCAATATTATTCTTTATTCATACTTCTACATCAGGAATTAAAAATTGATTTCCAAGAGAATCTGTTTGGCATGTGCTTGTTTTCCTGCCACATCTAGAGATGGCATCACAAACAGTCATCCTTTAGCTTACCTGCCACCATCTGTAGGTGTCATCTGAGAGCTCACTGTTGTCCCTGGACATCAGCGGGTGGATGGATTGATTGAAGCGCTCGGCAAACCATGGATCGTCGTCCAGTTGCACTATACATTGCTCACAGGCACATAGTCCTTTAGAGTCCGACACATGAAAGGCGTGTTTGAAAAAGTCAAGTGATGAATAGTTATCTCGAAGAGTGTAGCTGAACAGGAACGTGGTAAATGTTATAACGCACACCAAGAGAGCAAAGGTTCTGAAATGTCTTCGTTTTGTCATACTCATGGCGTCGTACTCTCAAATGTCTCAGCAGGGAATCACATAAGAGTCTTCTCATAAATGAGTGTAAAATCCCATGTTGGCCTCAAGAGGTTGATGACTGGTGTCTGGTTTATTTTGTAATCAATCATTCACCTGCAAAACAAACACAAGAGATATCAAGTCACAAAACTATCCCAACTGGCTCCCTATAATCACATTTGACTTTCTGTTAATGAACACTTAATCAGTAACTGGGCTATTCCCTCTGGACAGTGAAATTATAGGTTCCATTTTAGTCCCACTTGTCTGTTGAAGACAATAAAAAGGTTTCATAATGGAAGTAGAGACCGTTCCCATGGCCATTTGCTTCAATCACCTTTTCAGTGCAGTTAAAAACATGCCACTCATTGAAAAAAAGACAGAGTAGTAATAGGAGTCCAAATCACTGGAAGAAAGGAAAAATAAGTTGATGCTGTGTACTCTAATTACTTTAGAAATAATTCATTTCTTTTGTTGTTGCTTTTCCAAACATATTATATATAAATGTTTTGTTTTTGTTTTGTTTTCTAGCAGAGCGTGATTGTGTGCAGCCTTGTGTGTACTTTCCGGTGAAAAACTACAAACTAAACCTGAGGGGTGTTTTTTGACTGTGCCAAAGCCAAGAGACCTCCTGGGGTTTCTATTCAACATGAAAAGGCCACCTCTCCCTTTTAAACAGGCCCTGGGTTTCTGCACTGCGATGATATCTCTTTGTAGGAATCAGACACTACCTCTAAATTTAGCTTTCAAAATCACATTAAAGATAAAGCCTTGCAAAACTCAAGGGACCTGCAAAATGTCCGTCCCCATTTGCGCTCCTGACAATTTAAAGCTGTGTCTCCTGTATATACGATTTGTAGCAAACACTATTGTTTAAGTAGAACGGCTGCAGCTTCTGATTAGAAATTGATCAGGTCATTCAAATTCTAGCCCAGAGGGGGGCAAAAAAGAGGATTAGGTTCAAAGACTACACAACGTTGCAGCATTCCAGTTGATTTCACTCACCTTATCAGAAAAACAAACTGTACTACCCCCACCGTTTGTCAGCAGCTGCAACACAGACCAACATTCTCTCCTCACTGCTACCTTGTAAGTCTGTAGCACATTTGCAAGGGTGGCTGCTGTCTAACAATTTGACATGGATACCTGGGGATACTGATAATAGACACTCAAAAATTAAGCAGTTGACTCAAGTCGGTTTGAAGTCTGGTATCCAGAGACAGGTACATGGAATGTGTTCCCAAACAGGTGGCTATTACTAATTTTTGACAAGGCACTTGCATCGTCTTGTTGCACTGACCTTGCCTGACTGAAGGCTGGTGACCTGCCCTGATCAAAGTTACGCGTGCGGAGAGCTGAGCACAGAGGCTATTCACACTTCAGAGGTGACAAATGAGGGGGGGTGACAAGAGATGGGTATTTATTTTTTAGTTTGCTGATGTGACACGCATCTCGTGCAATGCAATATATTTTTTAGCAATTTGATAGGCCCAGTAAAAATATAATAGGGACGCACAATATATCAGCATACATATCGATATCAGCCAATGTTCGCCATTTCTTAACCTATCGGCATCGGACCGATGAATAAAATTGTGCTTATAACCACCGATGTCGATTGCTGGGTTGCAGTGTTAAGCCTGGTTCACACGTCAGGATAATTAGGCCGATTTTGGGACCCGATTTACCCCTACGAAAATCGTAAGAACACTCCGAATATCGTTAAAAAAAATCTGATGGATTCTCCTGCCGTGTGTGGTGTGTTAAGACTGCGCTCGTCGCTCGGAAGGACTTCGGGACTGCTCCGATCGCAATATCGGGGATATCCAACATGTTGGATTGTTTTGGCCCGATTTCTCTTCGTGTGTGGTGTCCCCCGAGGACAGACGAGCGCGTTGCCATGACTGCGGCGTGTAGCCAATCAGAAGACGAGACGAGCCGGCGAGGAAACACCGTAAAAAAACCAAAACAGTCAGCGGCATGGCGCACCAGAAAGTTCGGTGGACATCAGAGATGGAGGAACAACTAGTTGACCTCTGGCAACACCGTGAATGTATGTATGACGTGTCGTGTAAAGAATATCATCACCGAAATGACAAGGAGAGGAATTGGGCAGAAATTGCTGCTGCACAGGTAGTGTTGCCATAAGCCCTATTTGGACGGGATTAGTACACTAAATGATCAGACTGATGGTTGTGTTTGTACGTTTATTTTGCACTCTGTCCTAATACAGTACAGACGTGTTGATGCAGCCGTTACTGCAGCCGTGCTTGTTGGTTTGCGCGTATGTAAAGTTTCATGTCTAGCAGTGTGTGTGATGTGTTCACAGGTAGTCCGTAAAAACTGTATTGTTGAACAGCACAGACAGTACGGGCCAGAGAACTGTAGAGCAGTAAAATCCACATGTATGTGTTTGTCCTCATGGTATCTGTGGCTGCTGTGGTCAGACTAGAGTCTCTATAGGCTGCGAGAAGCGGAGAGGCCTGCACACTCTGTTTACTCTGATGTCACGGTTGATCTCGAGAGATTTTGTGAGATTTCCGGTGACCTGTGAATGCTCGGGGGTGAAATCGGTTTGTGTGTGATGTGTGTGGTTTGCGTGATTTTGCCATGTGGCTGCGCACCACACACTGTACAACCAAAATGGTTAGACCCGTGATTTTTTATCTCCGTGTGTGGGGTCTCACACGGAGAAAAAAATCGGCCGACAATTTTAAAATCGTCTCGTGTGAACCAGGCTTTAAGCAGCGGCGCGAAGTCCTCCGAGGAACAGGAAGTAAATCTCCCCATTAAGAACAATATAAATATTTACTATTTAGCTAGAGAACTGTTAAATACATTTTTAAATGCCAAAGGACGTTTAAAACCAAGCCTGCTTTTAGCAGGCTGTACCTTGGTCCGAACGTTTTAATATTCACAGCTTAACAAATCACCGAAATGACAGTCAAGGGTCACAATTCTCGCCTCAAATGTTGTTATTTATTGTATTATTGAGCAGATCTGTTCTGTTGATCCCAGAGTGACTCCACTGTCGTCACTATAACAGTTGAAATAAATAGACTCATTCACACTGTACACAGCGTTCGTGTTACAGCAAGGAGTGAGATTGCAAGCATGTCAGCGTCTGCGCTCATGGACCTTTTTGTAACAGGACCCACCCCAATGGTTATAACCCACTGTCGGCAGAGCATGTGCCGGGGCTTCCACCTTGTGGCAACCATCTTTTGGCAGCCGCAGGAACCGCCATGAGAACCTTTCGCTTGGTCCTGTTAAGTTTAAGCCTATTGTGACATTTTCAAAATTGCATCAACAAGCAATATCTTAAGTGGCAAAAAGGGAAGAAAAGTCATATATTGAGGAAAAAATCCCTCAGGGAAACTTCCTGCACCATATTTAGTAATATAAGGAGTAAAAATGAAAAAGACAATGGCATCCTAACTGTGAGTCTTTGTGCCTTAATCTCCTCATATGCTTTGGTGGAGACTTCATTTCATTTTCACACAAATTGGCTTTCACTGCTTTATTTTAATAAAAAAGGTAGGTGCAGTTCCAGCTCAGAAATATGAAGAGGGGAATCTTTGTGTTGATAAAGTTCAGAATCAGGAAGATAGAAAGTATTCCATTTTACAAAGTAACGGTAAAATGGTTTTGTGTGTGCATCTGTGAGGGTGTGTTTTGGCCAAATTAAATGGTTTCATCAAGTGCTATGGAGCTATGGAAGTTCACAAACATTAGCATAAAAGTAACTAAAAACCAAAAAAAAACGTTTTTGACTACATTTAATTCAATATGTCAACAGGAAAAATGGAAATGGTGGAGTTGCTATATATGTACACAACAGGTTAAGATTCAAAGTAGTTAATAGCATGACAATTGCTGTTGATGACATTCTTGAATGCATAACAATTGAAGTAAATGATGGTAACAAAAAGGAGGTAATTATTAGTTGTTTATATCGCCCCCCAGGGGGGGACATTGGGATTTTCAATGAATGGGTAGCAAAGATGTTTTCTAGAATAGGTAACAGAACATTTTTTATATGTGGAGACTACAACATAGATCTATTAAATCCAGCTAAGCATAAAACGACGGATTACTTTATCAACACAATGTTTAGTTTGAGTATATTTCCAACTGTAACTAGGCCGAGTAGGTTTGTGTAAGCTCTCAGTCGTACAGGGATTAGTCAAAGCAAAGGAAGGTTTCTCACCCATCACATAACAGATGATGGGTGAGAAACCTTCCTTTGCTTAGGCCGAGTAGGGTAACAAATCACAGTGCAACTCTAATTGATAATAGTATAACCAGACTTAGTAAGAAAGCCTACTATAAAGGACTCTTGGAAATGAATAAAAATAACACAAGGAATATTTGGAGAATATTAAATGGAGTAATAAAGAATGATTTAAAAAAAAAAGGTGTATCCAAAGTATTTCATAGATGGGAATGAAGAATGTAATGATTTAAACAAGGTTGCTAACAGCTTTAATAAATTATTTATTAACGTTGGTCCAGACCTGGCATCAAAAATCTCAGATTCGAGTCATGATGATCAATTACTTGACAGAAATCTAAAATCATTCTTTCTTGCACCAGTAGATGATATAGAGTTACTATCAGCTGTAATGGATTTCAAGAACAAATCTTCTTTAGACTGTTTTGATTTTGATATGACACTAGTTAAAAAAAGTTATACACAGTATTCTCAAGCCTCTTGTATATATCTGCAACTTGTCCTTTTTATCTGGTAAATTTTCCAAACAAAGTGAAAATTGCAAAGGTTCTTCCATTATACAAAAATGGGGACAAGCACATTTTTACAAATTATAGACCAATCTCTTTGCTTCCGCAATTTTCAAAAATTCTCGAAAAACTATATGATAACAGATTAGAGTGCTTTATAGAAGAATGTGACATATTAAATCAGGGACAATATGAATTTCGGAGAAAGAGATCGACAACCATGGCAATTATTGAAGCTGTGGAAGAGATTAACAATGCATTAGACAAGAAAAAGCATGTAATGGGCATATTTATAGATCTAAAGAAAGCTTTTGACACAATTAATCATTCACTATTGTTAAAAAAACTGGAAACATATGGAATGGAG